ACAAAACAGGATAATATGGTCTTTAGGTGTTACGCCGTCAGGAAATCAACCGACCAATATTTAGTTCCCAAGGCAGACGTTTTGTCTATTAGTGGGTGAGTAAGGTTTTACGCTGCTTTTAGCATTATTCCAGCAATACCACGGCGGGGGACACCAGAAATTGGCTTCACACATTGTACCCTTATGGTTAATCGAACCCTAGTACTTTACCACTAGGCTACACCACTACCTTGGCGAGAGGACACTGTAACCATTATGCTACCCCACTAACTCCCTTCTGTCCAATAGACCACGGACAGTGAAATATGTTAGGCCATTGTCACATCAGAGACAATTTAACACCAGTTCCTTCTGTTACAGAAACATGACTGCAGAGTGGATAAAAACAATGATATCAGTTTAAATAAACCTAGGTAACCAAAGTTTTAAACTCGATTGTACAGTCGCTCATATTGACAGACTTGTCTGTGTAGTGTTGGTTTGATGTTATTAAGGACAAATCCGTAGTTCTATTCCCAACATGGGTGCTATGTGTGAAATCTACTTTAGTTTAGATATATAACGCAGCTTCTAAGATAATGGAAGGGTTTTGCTATTTGTGTATGAATATGTGAACATTTTCAAACGTTCCAAAACAAGGCCTACATGCAAATATCACCAAATGAATGTTTGAAAATGTACACAAAAATCAACACTGTTCTAAGCGTCGTTTCTTATCACTTTATTATTTGTGGAATGCATACTGTTTGTTTTGCAGGAACCGCTTTGACACGCCAAAAGTAGATGCAAACCGTACTCACGTTTTGGGGAAGAAGACACATTCAAGAATAAAGGACAAAACACTGGATGTCAGTTTGAAAATAAAACCATGAAGCGCCAAAGACGGGACATTGATCGCGGATATGCATGGGTGGTTAGTGTTGCTTGCTTTGCTATTGAGGTGCTCTGTGGCGCTCTAAACTCTTCTGTGGGGGTCATTACACCGGCCATTCTGGAAGAGGTTGATGGCGATTTGGTCAAAGTATCGTGGGTAGGGTCAACATTGCTTGGGACGTTCTCAATGTGCGGTAAGTGTGCATGCTTCAAAGCTACAACCATACGTTTTAGCTGCCAGTAGAGCAGAGCAGAGGTTCAGGTCGAATGTTAAACTACGTGTGTGGCAAACTCGTTTGAGAATTCCATTACATTTTGTTCAATATACCTCTTAATGTTTTGTTTAAGAATGATAGCTTCAGAATAATAAAGGCATTATGTATTATGCATGTACTTTATTGACAGGTAGATTGATTGGGCAATTTTGTGATACCTATTGGCATTGATTTGAGCAGGCATACGTATCTGTGCGGTTCCTAAAGAACCGACAGTCTGCAAGACTCGGAAGACTTTGTTGCTCTGTCAGTCTTTGCCACACACAACTCAGGGCATTTGTGTACTTATAAGGGGCGCACGTTCGGTATCTCAAGTAATACATAAATGACTGTTCATCCGTATTTTGAAACATTTGTCTCCAATGCTTGATGCTCAACCACGAAATAATTCCCTTGTTGAAGTTCACTACAGAAAGAAAAAACACAAAATATGGAGCATATTTACTACAAGTTTTTTGTGGAAACAGTATGATGAAAGAAATACATGGTTCCTTTAAAGAAAAATATGTTTGAAATGAAATTCGGACACACAGCTACATTGAAGACATATCTTCCGTGATATTGGTGAGATGTAAAAATAGAACCAGTGTGTCCAATGTTTGTGTCCAATGTTTTTGAGAGCCGAACGTGTCAAGTGTTTCCTTTGTATCGTGCTATCATTACAGGAGCTAACAAACTAATGACGGACTTTTTCAGGACCATTGGCAGGAATCATTCAAAACAAAATTGGAAACCGATGGACAGGTATTCTGGGTGGTATACTGATGTTTCTTGGACTGACAGCTGCATCCTTTAGTAGGACTGCCACTGGTTTGATCCTTACGTTCGGAGTCATAACAGGTAAGAATCAACATGCTTGTTGTGTAAACGTGGACTGCACGATGTGGTCAATGTCACACTTTGATTCATGCTTTCAAAACAAAATGAAAAGTGCAAAAAATGTATCTTACAACAATAATCTTCAAATGTGTAGTGTAGATTCTGACAACATTATTGAGTAGAGATATCTGAAACAGTATGACGTGCCCCTCGAAATTGTACTGACCCATGACGTCACCAAAAAACAAGATTGCAGAATCCATGCGCTGACCACCCCCTAACTGAGGGACATCACAAAAACAAGACATCGACAATGACGCTAAACACGCGTCGACCACACACACGCATGTACCTTATACGCTCTTAATCACACACACCCTCCCGTCTATGTAAAACTCTCTACAAAAGGAAACGGTAAGACGGTGATATTCTACATAGAAATTATGTATTCTGGGAGGTAAAAAATGGCAAAGCTGTTGAGTCGCGTTGTTTACTTCGTATCGTAAACCCGAAGCGGGCAGCGAGTGATTAATAACAATTTTGAAGGAGGTCTCTAAACGTTGTGCTGTCTATGTAAATCTCTCTACAATACTAGACTGCAAGACAAATGTACCTAGACGCTCAAAATCACACGTCCTCCCGTCTGTGTGAAGCTCAGTACGAGACGGTAAGACGGCGAAATTTTACCGAAGTATTAAAGGCATCACACGTCGTGCAGTCCATTTAAAGCTCTCTACAATACAAGACCGCATGACGACGATATTCTTCAACGTTTACACCGCCCCCAAATATACCCCACGAGGTAGACAACAGCAACACGCTATAAAGCACAACCGAGGCATTGGGAAATACATTTTCATACCTTTTATTCACAATAATAGACACCATCGAACACCAATATATTTTCTATACACATTTAAGCAATACAACAAGTAGATATAAATAGTTATAATATATTATGTTCTCGTCACGATACGGCTGAAATATTGCCGATGTGACGTTAAATATTAACTCACTCACTCACTATGAATAGTTTGTCAGACGAGAGTATGCGTCCTCATATGAGTGTCGAATCCTGAGGCTAGGTACACATGAATACGATGAATACGAATACGATGGCCTAAACCTTTCATGCTCAAAGTCAATGTCATCTTCGGTGAACCATTTCAACAATGTCAAACCACAACCAGCCACAAGCAACCTTGTCCGAAACACCAGTATAATAAAATCCTCTCCGGGCAAGCTGCATACCTTTCTGAACCAGTTGCTTGGGCCAGTCCCTAAAAGTAACATTCCTGTCGTAGCTGTTCGTGACAATAGTTGTGGCTGAAGTTCAGTAGCTTTCTATGTTCCCCCTCAGCGTCGTCTTCGTCTCTCACATACTTTCCTGTTAATCGTCGTAAAACTTCCTGTACGATCCAGCGCCCATGTCATCATACGAGAGACATGTAAGATGATGATATTTTCCACCCACCGACACACTGTCTTCGTTCACATAGTCCGATAAAGTCACCGCTTCCCGTTCACATAGTCCGATAAAGTCACCGCTTCCCCTGTGTTTGTATAATCACTGCAATCAGGCAGCTTACTCCTTTCTCCATCCCTCTGGTGTTTAGTGAGTGAGTGAGATTTAAAGTCACATCGGTAGTATTTCAGCCATATCGTGACTATGGCAAACTATATCAATAATAAGTATAAGTAAAGTGATCCTCCCGATTACACCACAAACAAAATGGCGACCATAAGAATTCGGGCGCTGTCCGTCAAGCTAGGGTAGGATTCTCGATTGCTGCTCTCAGTGCTTTTACCTCATAAAATATTCAATAGGCATGCATTAAAACTTTAAAAGGAGGCTAGTAAATGATGATTCGCGTTGTTTACCTCGTATCATAAACCTGAAGCGGGTAGCGAGCGAATAATATCAATTTTAAAGGATATCTATAAGTGCCGTGTTGTCTATGTTTGTAAAGCTCCATACAATACCAGACAGCAAGGCAAATGTACCTAGATACTCAAAATCACACGTCCTCAGGTCTGTGTAAAGCTCTCTACAATGCTATGCTCTCTACAATACTAATACATTGCTTTCTATGTTCCCCCGATGGTCTCCCGCGGGTGTCAGACCTCGTCGTCATTGCCGACTCTCGCTTACTTTCCTCATCAAACTTCCTGTATGATCCAGCGCCCACATCATCATATGAGAGACATGTAAGATGATGATATTTTCCGTCCACCGACCCACTGTCTTCATTAACATAGTCCGATAAAGTCACCGCTTCCCCATGTTGGTATAATCACTGCAATCAAGCAGCTATCTCCCTGTCTCCATCCCCCTGCTGTTTAAGGGTATCGGGAACGTAGTAGTAGGTGAGGTGAGGTGAAATTGGGTTTAACGTCGTGCTTGAGAATTTTTCGCTCATATGACGACGTGCATGCGTGTGTATGTGTATGTGCGGCTGCTTGTACTAGCCCAGACTAAAGCTGGTTTTATAGTGCTAGCCCACTGAGATACCATGCCGCAGTGAAGCATGAATACCCCACTGAGACACATTATACTGACTCTGAGCCGACCAGTCCTTGTTGTACCCTTTAATGCCGAGCGCCAGGCAGGGACCAACAAGTACCATACAGTCAGACCTCGTTAATACGAACACTTAGGTTTTTTATAAAAAAACGTTCAGATGGTGAAACGTTCATACTGCTGAAACCACAGTATATGCGCCGAGTTACTTCCCCTTGATATATTTCCTTACTATCGATACGTGAAGAAATCAAAACAAAACATCAAAGACAATCACTGGATTTATTTCACATTGTTTCACTCACACATTTTACTTACAAAAGTAGTCTTTAATGGTGGGCTGCTGCAAAGGTTGTTTTAAAGAATTGAGCATGTCCATTGCTTTATCTGCATTTTCGATGTCACCCTGGCACTCGTAGTATGTAATAATGTTACCGAGGTACAGTCTCATGTCTGTTAAAGACGGAAGGGTGACAGTGTCTTCTGCTTCTTCTTCTTCACTTTCAATCTGATCATCTGCAGCTGTCACCTATCTCTATGATGTTCTCTGAAGTCAGCGAATCACAAGTTTCTTCGTTGGCATCGGCATCGATGAAATCATCAGGCGACATGTTTTCATCATCAGACGGGAGGCGTTGAAGTAGCTTTTTCAAGTCGGCAAGCACGATATCATCTTCGAAATCATCAGTTTCACCAATCTGGGATTCTTGACTTGGCAGAATTTCGACATGCTTGAAACAGTTCTTGATCGTCTGACAGGAAACATCTGCCCATGCAGATTTCACGAATCGTCAAGGCTTCTCTTAAGTTTATACACTGGGGTTTGTCGTCTTCAGCACATGCGATGAAATGTCTCACTAATGATCTCTTGTAATAAGCTTTGAATGTCCGAATAATACCAGCATCAAGTGGCTGAATCCGGGATGTAGTGTTAGGAAGAAAGTGAACTTTGACATTTGTCAACTTCACATGTTTGCAATTGTGGCTGGCTGCATTGTCCACGAGAAGTATCACGCAACGGCAACGTGACCTACACTGTCTATCAAAAGTTCTCAGCCAATCACAGAACATGTCAGAGGTCATCCACGCCTTCTTGTTGAAACGGTACCGAGCATAGATTTCTGGATTGAAGTCTTTCCCAAAACAGTGTGGTCGTCGAAATTTCCCTATCATGAAGGGTTTCACTTTGATGGTACCTGTTGCATTGCAGCATAATGCAACTGTCACTCTTTCTTTCGACTTCTTCACACCAGGTGTTTTCTTAGAAGCAAGTGTGTGATTGGGTCCGAGCTTATAAAACAAGCCGGTCTCGTCAAGATTGAAGATGTCGTCTTCGTCGTAATTTTTCAAGACTGATTTCAATTCTTCTCTACCTTTAACTACTGCATTCTTATCTGCACTGGCAGCTTCCCCCTGATAATTTTGTTTCTTAATTTGATGACGAGATTTGAAGCGGTAAAGCCAACCGCGAGAATAACCAAAATCATTGATTCCTAATTTTGAGCCCAATTCCATGCCTTCAATATATTTGGAATAAAAGTTGTTAAAGTGTTAACTGGACTGGTTAGGCTTTATGATAAAGGGATCAAAGGGATGAGTCGCTAAGTCGCTAAACAAACAACGTATCACTTTGGGTGGACCAGTCAGCAGCGTGGTCAACTTCAATCGTTTGGATTAACGCAGCTGTTTACAACTTAATTCACCCAATCCGTTCCGACTGACCAGCGTTCAGAGGCGGAAACTGAATCATCGGACTCACGAGGCGTCAATTATATACAATATATAGGGAGATGATTTGGTGCCCAGTGAGTAGCGTTCGGAAGTCGGTGGATTCGGATTAACGAGGACCGGATTACCGCGGCCTGACTGTATTTTAACGTCTTTTGGTATGACGCGGTCGGGGATCGAACCCGCGACCTTCCGCTCTCCGGGCGGACGCTCTAACCACTACACCACGGAGGCGGTCACGTAGTAGTGGGACATCTTTGCTGCAGTGTACGGACACACGAAGTACGCAACCTCACTTTCCGGCTGTCGGGCTCTAACTGACATTTAGTCAACATGAACGGCATGATCGGTGTGACCGCAAGCTGTAGGTAACAGTCTGCTCATGCAATCAGCCATGGTCAGACAGACAGATTATTTATTAAAGTCTCACCCCTGTTATACATATATACAAACTAATTAAACATATATTTACATAGGGCCATTCCATACGGAATTATGAGAGACTAAAATTCTTTAAAAATTGCATGTACATGTATTATGAATAACAATAATTAAAAGTTATATAATACGGATTTTCTCCTTTTTAAAACAACATGGCAGGTTTTGGCAGCTATAAAACAGATATTGCTATTGGACAGGATAAAAGCAGTTTTTTGTATATCAGTAAGATTACTAAAATTCTGACATAGGCTATCACAAGTATTTAAAAGACTAAAACGTTCATCCCTATAAACCGGACAATTAATTAAAACATGAACTTCGTCTTCAACACAGTGTTTACAATAAAAACATTTTCTGTCGTTGAGTGGAATATTGTTGTATCTACCCAGCTCAATATTAATTGGTGCAGTGCCGGATCTGAACTTAGCATATGCACTTCTGTATGGGCGGGGCATGGGATGAGTTACGTAAAATTCTGGGGTATAAACATCCTTAAAAGTACCATAAAAGCGTAGCTTATTTGCCCCCTGTTTAGATGGACCACAGGTATTCCCTACCGATTCCTTCCACTCATGTCTATAAGTATCAAATAATTTCTGCATAACACTTTGTACAATAAACCTGGAGTTAAAACTATTAGTGGGGGAAATAAAGTGCTCAAGATCAACATTGGCTAACTTTTTATGAATTTTAAAATTAAGGTTTCTTTTTCTTCTAAAAGCCCAGAGGTTACCCCAAAGAAAAATTTTGCTCGTTAGTCGATATTGATCCAGGTTACAAAGACGTTTATAAAATCTGACAACACTGCCCCACTGGCGCACGATAGGGGGAGTCCAACCCATGTCACCGCTCACAGCTGCGTTGGGTGCAAACTTTTTCACACCCAAATAGAACCGCATTGCACGGTTTTGCACAGCGTTCACACATGACATGACATGTTTTGTGTTCCCCATATACATGCGCCATAATCTAAAACAGACCACACCATGGAATCATAAAGTTTGGTAAACAATCGGTACTCCATACCACCAATGAGCTTAAACTTGGAGATTAACAAACCTAGGGCTCTGCTGGCTGAACTTGCCGCGGCCTTTGCCATTCTAGAATAATCTAGATGTTCATTAAGTAACAGGCCCAAATAACAATAAGAATCAACAACTTCAAGATTTAGATTTCCACAAGTAAATGTACAGCTGGTTCTGTCAACGGACTGATTCCTAAAATGTATAACTTTTGATTTACTATCATTGACAGACATTTTGTTCGTATCACACCATGTGTTCAGACAATCCAATAAAATATTAAGATCTGTTTCACTCTCCGCTAATAAAATAAGATCATCAGCATATGCTAAAACACCTACCTTTAAACCATCAACATTCACACCTATATTCATATTATCTAAAACTAACAACAGATCATTAATATACATATTGAATAACAATGGTGAAAGTAAACATCCTTGTTTAAGACCGCAATTAACATCAAACCATGGGGTATTAAAACCATTCAAACGGATACAACATTTGACGTTATCATAGATTGACATAATTGCATTAAAAATCCTACCCCTAACATTTTGTGAGAGTTTTCCCCATAAAATATTCCGATCAATACAATCATATGCTTTTCTAAAATCTATAAAAGCAGCAAACGTGGATTTTTTCATACTTTTTCTTGTTTCTATAATAGATGTAACACTATATACATGATCTATGGTAGATCTGCCCTTTCTAAACCCGTTTTGATTATCATGTAAAAGGCCATTGCTTTCCATGTATTCACTCAGTCTGTTGTTCAGTACCCCACAGTAAAGCTTATAACTGGCACTGGCTAACGTTATACCCCTGTATGCGAGCGGGTCCCTGGGGTCATCCGTGGAGGTCTTTGGGATTGGTGTGATAACGCCTTTACCCCACATAGAAGGGACAACACCCTCGATAAAGCATACATTAAAAAGGCTATGTAGAAATAACAAACAATTAGAGTTTTTCAGCACTTCGACTGGAATAGCATCGATACCCGGCGATTTACCTCCCTTTGCTGTCAATAAAGCCCGCTGCACCTCCCCAAGCGATATAGGTATATTGAGCTCACTGTTACTGTTACTGTTTGTGTCACGTGGCACACGTGTACAGTCAGAACTAATATTAGTGTTGAGTAGATTCGCATACGCATCTCTCCAAGTCCCTAAAACAGTGTCTATATTTGAACTAACGGAGCCATCAGACAGCTTAACTTCCATGGGGATAGTCTTTTTCCTCTCAAAACCCACGCCCACTTTACCTATCTTCCTCCAAAACTCTGAAGTATCCCTTTCACACAAACTCTCTAACTCGCGTAAGGTGCCTGTCTGGAAGTCACGCTTCGCTTTCTGAACTTTCCTATCAAACAGATCCCGTTTTAGAACATACTCATGTTTAAGATTCGCTCTACCCATCCCCTTACACTCACACCATCGCCTTTCTGCAACACACATGTCGTTCCATAAAAGTGCCAGTTGTGGAGTCCACCATTCCTTAGCACGGCGACGCTTTTTGTTTCTAGCATGGGAATCAAGGAGTATGGTTTTTGTCGGCAGTATACTGTGCATTTCATTTTTTGACACTATTCACAAACGAGTTAAAAGCAATGTCTACATCAGCCTGTACAAATTGGGATGACTCTAATTTATTGACAATGTCCACAAGTGACCGATAACTGTCATCAGATTGCATAAAGCTATCAGGTATATTAGACGTATCACATTTAACCCTAGTCTGCTGCTGACGAGTACATGGTGTAGGGTCACAGGGCGGCATATCTAAATGTATAGACCATGTTAACATTGAGTGGTCTATCTTTAACACCGTCTGTGGGTTTACCAGCCCAACACACCCGGCCCTAGTGGCTACATCATTTGGCCTAACAACACACATATTCTCAATCCTATATAACATGTCATAGGGACAAAGACAGTAATCAACCACAGATGTACCCCTAGTGGATATGTACGTAAAATCATTACAAACATTTTGTCTTCCATTTACCATACATAAATTAGCTGATATTAAGAAGTCTGCTAAAAGTCTACCATAGGTGTTGATTGTTGAGTCAACTATTACACGCTCGGGTAGGCAATCGACACCTTCTACATAGTCCAGCAGGTTACCACATCTACTGTTAAAATCGCCACAGATAAAAGTCATTTCAGGAGAATAATACTTGACTATCTGTAATAATAGGGTATCATAAAATCAATTGCATCTATTTGCCTTGTGGAGTTCTCAGGTGGGAGGTAACACACACATATAACAAAACTAAATTGAGGATGTAACTTGTCAACAAACTTCAACCATAGAATACCTTCATAACTACAATCTAAAACTGAAACGTTAAAACAATCATAGAAGGCACTCTTGATTAAAAACCCAACCCCGCCCGATCCGCATTTAGCTCTAGTATGTGTCAGAGTTCTATTATGTCCGAGCCACACGTAGCCATCTACATCTATCTTCTGGGTTCCCTTTAAGTGTGTCTCAGCAATTCCAATAATGTCTAAATCACATTCAGTTATACAGTGCGAACGTAGTACGAAGTTTTCAGACAGTTTATCACATGAGTAGCCGCAAACATTCCAAAACCTGCTTTCTAGTATACGTTGTTGCAGTGGTTTGTCGCTCTCAACATATATATCTTTAAAGTTTCTCGAGTCTCTTAACCTTCTTTTCCCACTCAGAATTAACTTCTTATCGTCTACCGATGTGCATGTTGCGATAATGACGCCTGGGTACCTGCTGTTGTTGGACAAGTTAGGATGCTTGGTGTAACAAAAACCTGTAATCCATTTGATTGACTGATGGCGTGTAGATCCAGGCGAGTGTTCGGGGCCTGAAGTGAGCTGTGTTGACCTAAAAATTCAAACATTATTTTGTTAATCAATAGCATATTTACATGACACGTGTTTTTATTTGTTTTCAAAATTTCAGGATTTACTGATTGACAATCGATTTTACACCTGAAATATGTGGTGAAGAAGTGTGCAAATGGTCGAGTGAACATATTATGTTTTAGCACTACAGATTACCAGAATAAAGCCAAATATGCATTTGAATGTGGACTCGATGAGCAGGATTATGATCAATCGAAACACAGTACTGCTTGTGCTATAAAGGGTGAATCAGTACTGACGGTTTGGCAAGAACGTCCACCTCACAACTGCGAACATTGTTCTGACATCAATGAAAATTTGATACAATAATCCACAACTTTGCCAGGGGGTATTTTCAGATCAGATGCATAGCAACGGAAAGAGAATGATATTTAAGAAATACAGTTAGCTCAACAACCACGTATAGTGTAATAAAGCACACTTTCGCCCTGAACTATTATTGTTAAAGTACGAGGACGCTTGCGTTATAATAGACCTAAATTAAGAATCCTCGCACAGGGCTAACTGGCGCGCTGTTCTATTGATGTGTCTGCCCCCCCCTACGTTAAGATGAACATTACCAGAAAAACTAAACGATAAACAGTTTGATGACGGTTTACGTTCGGATTTAATATCTTCTCTAAATTATTGTAATTACATCTGTGATCGACGTAAACAATATGGGGCAATGTGAACGTCGCATTTCTACTATCAACGTAAGTTTAGATCATTACATCCAGATTAAGCTGAGTAGTCAAGCGGCATTCCACGATTGCATTATGAGAATGTAAACATTGCGAACGTTACCGTGTCGCTGAAAACTTGTGAGTCGAATTGAGACATTTTAAACGTTGCAATACATAAACGTAATGTTTCCTCCAGTGACGTTAGCTGCGTGAAGCAACTGCAATCCAAGAAACGGGATGATACGGAGTAGTTTACTGTACGAGGCGATGACAACTGACATGCATTGCAACGTCGCTTACATTGTGACATAATGCAAAATTGTTCAATTACGAGGGGACAGACTAGAATGGCATTACATTGTGACGTAATGCAAAAAGTGCACATTATCGTCTGATAAAGTACTGTCGGCGCCTTTGATATTTCACCGAAGCATCTTACGATATGGAATATTGATAGATCAACTGGTTTAATTTTAATTATGAAACCCTGAGGATTTCTTAACTACTCAACAGTTCGCCGCTGACTCTCATAGTTGGCCAGTCCTTTTCGTGTTCGTGTTAAGTATGGTAGACCATTTCGAAACGTTTGACATTCGTATTGCACATTTTCTGTAGATTTAACTACAGTAAATGATCGGAGAAAGTATAACCCTACCGAAGATGTGATACAGAGCCCCAAAAGTATAACAGATCCTCCCAAAAGTATGACAAGCCGTTCCAAAAGTATGACCCTGTGTAACTTTAGCCTCGTACCTTTCCCGTAGATTTTGCTACTAAAACTGACGGGAGAACCATGCTAAAAGTATGTCACACAGTCCCAATGTATGACCCACTGTATCAAAAGTATGGTAGCCCATTCCAAAAGTATCAGAGACCCTCATAAAAATATGATACACTGTTTTATAAGTATGACACACTACACCTAAACCGTGTTTACCAGCCCTTTCTTAGCGTGTCTGATGCTTGACATAAGATCAGAGTGTTCACTCCCGATGGTTACACAACGAGGCATTTGTATCATCATCTTACATGTCTCTCGTATGATGATGTGGGCGCTGGACGTACAGGAAGTTTGACGAGGATAATCGGAAAATAAGCGAGGTACCATTGCTATCTGCATGGACCCTAGTTGGATTTACACCCTCCCTTCAGCCATTGGTGATGGACGAGAAATCTAGCAATAAATTAAAAGCACACATATTCTACGATTAAAAATGTGGCAAGTTTAAATTTACTTTAAATGTGTTGGGACTTACGTACCCTCTCAGGAGTACAATAATTTTACGCTACTTCAACCCCCTTTGAGGGTACAGCCACTAACAATCGAAGTTACTAATCTAAACTACCAACAATAAAATATTTAGCTATTTACAGATCAGTCAACAAATCTAATTCTTTTAAAAAATCAACTATTAAATGATAATTTACATTATAAAAAAGATCCTTCAATGTTTTGACATTGAAATACTTATCCCTTGTGGTGGAATATTCAACACAGTCAAGCAGGACATGCTTGACTATGATTCTTTCATCGCAAGGGATGCAAAACGGAGGATCTTCGCCTTTCAGTAAATATTCGTGAGTATATCTAGTGTGGCCAATGCGACATCGTCGCATAATGACCTCTTCAAATCTGGATTGACAACCCAAGTAGGTGTAACCAATATAAGGTTTTATTTCATGTAATTTATTTATACCTACCTGGGTGTTCCACTTCTTCTGCATCAGATCACGGATGTAGGTTCTAATGCTAGCTTTGTAATCAGAGTATGGGATAAGAAGTGGTGTCACAGATTTGAGTAGTGCTGCCTTGGCAGCAAGATCGGCCATTGTGTTCCCAGAAATGCCAACATGGCTGGGTAACCAACAGAAGAGGATGTCGCATTGGCCAGTAGCAAGATCATTACATAATTCGATTATTTCAATTAAAAGTGGATGTTTGCAAGATAGATTTTTAATAGCCTGAAGGCAAGAAAGAGAGTCAGAAAAGATTATATATTGTTTATGTTTAATATATATAAGAGCTGTTAGGATGGCGTTTGCTTCTGCTGTAAATACAGAGCTGTTATCCGGTATTCTAGAAGATATTGTTCTGGATCCAATGACAGTGGCACCTGCCACTGGGCCACCGTCCTTGGACCCATCTGTAAATAAGGATTTATATGTATTATATTTACTTTTTAATTGATTATACTCTTGTTTATATTGTAAGTCATTAGTATATGATTTTTTAAACTTTGTCAGAGTTAGGTCAACTTGTGGCCTGACCAATTGCCAAGGCGGAGAAGAAAGAAGACGGGAAGGAGATATATTTTCCAGCTCAATGCCAGCAGCAGAAATGAATGGTTTAATTCTGTGCCCAAGAGGCGGAACAAGAGAAGGCTTTTTGTTGTATAAATCCTCATACAGAGGATTGAAAACACAGTTAAATGCAGGATTAGACTCGTTAGAATAGAGTTTTGTTATATACTGTAAAGATAATTTGATGCGACGTTGGTTTTTGGGTGGCTCATCAGCCTCAACATAGAGACTATCAATAGGAGAGGTTCTAAAAGACCCAAGACAAAGTGTTAGGCCTTGGTGGTGGACAGAATCAAGTAGTTTTAGGTTGCCTTGCGGGGTCCACCATATACGATGGAGCCATAATCAAGTTTCGAGCAGACCAATGATCGATATAGGTGGAGGAGGGTAGCTTGATCCCCTCCCCACTTTGAATTAGACACGACTTTCAACAAGTCAAGTGCCTTCAGGCATTTATCTTTTACGTATTTAATATGTGGTAAGAAAGTCAGATGAGAGTAAAAAATAAGTCCTAAAAACTTGGCCTCCTTGACAACCTTGATGGGTGTGCCATTTAAAAATAGGTCTGGGTCTTTGTGCGGTTTATATTTTCTACAGAAATGTATACAATTTGGTTTGGATTTAGAAAACAAATTTCATATTAATCAATCGCTGCCTGCTTCGGGTTTACGATACGAGGTAAGCAACGCGACTCATCATTTAAAGCCTCCTTCTAAATTTCAACGTTTTAATGCTTGCCTATTGTATATTTTGTGAGGTAAAAACACTGAGAGCAGCATTCGAGAATGCGTCACCTACAATCCCTTATGACCAGTGACGTCACCCTAGGGTGTGTGTGTGTGTGAGAGAGAGAGAGAAAGAGAGAGAGAGAGAGGGGAGGGGGGGTCTTGTTTCGGTGACGTTATGGGCCAATACATTTTCGACGGGCACGTCATTTTGTGTCATTTCGGAAATGTATATGCTATTTTTGTATGCATCGCTGCAGGAAACATATTTGATTCATAATCCAGCACCATGTGTCCGTGAATGGATTGATGAATAGTAAAACGTTCCCAACACTTTAATCTAACCTACAAATATACACTGCAGTAACTCAAACATTGTCCAGATACGGTTCCACCACATTTCATGGTGCATATTCAAGTATAAGTAATTACCGAATTAACCCAATGCTAAATGCTTTGTTATAACCTATAGTGGAAGCTATCTAAACTGGCACTCTTCTGGACTGAAGATATAATTCGGTTTAAACACCGGTAGTATATCTTTGACATTTACGCAGTGTGCAGGTACTGAATGATCCTCGAAGCAGACAGTTGGAAGACGGAACTATTTCTCTCTCACTGACTTCATTCACAAATATAGGGCATTATTTCGCATATGCTACGTGCTACAGTCTCACTGATTCGAGATTTATAAGACAGGAACATAGTTTCTGATCACCAACAGTTCACAGTTTGGTCAACCAAACATTCATTTCCCATGAGCTTCAGTTGACTGTCTGACTGAGTTTGGTTTTACGCCGCTTTTAGCAATATTCCAGCAACATCACGGCGGGGGACACCAGAAATGGGCTTCACACATTGTACCCATGTGGGGATTCGAACCCGGGTCTTCGCCGTGACGAGCCAACGCTTAACCACTAGCCTACCCCACCGCCCCGCTTCAGTTGACAATCAAAGTTATTACAAAAGGTTAAAACTAAGTCCGCATTTATAAACATGGCTGACCATTTGTCACCTTGAAAGTTTATGGCCTCTGAAAGTGGAAGGAGATCTGACAGGATCTTTTAAAGCTTGGGACTGAAACCATTTATTCGTGACACATTTTCCGTAATTACTCGTACCTCGTTGGTTATTCTGTAACTTTTACACGTAATAACTCATTGATGTATACTTCCACAACCTGCGAACGTGTGTATCTATATCCACAGGTTTAGGTTGTGGTCTGGCTGCTAATGTGAGTGGCGTGGCTCCCAGCAACTACTTCAAGAAGAGACTCCCAGTAGCATACGGTATCTGCATGTCTGGAGGTGCAGTAGGACTGCTGGCAATCGGACCATTAACAGTTCAGCTGTTGGAGATGTACAATTTATCGGGCGCGTTGCTTATTTTGGGTGCCATTGCATTCAATGTGTGCTTAGCTGGAGCTCTAATTCGACCACCGTCTACACTGATGCAAGAGGAGTCAATGTCAATAGATCTTGCCCGCCAAGACGACACAGAGGAGATTTGTGATGCACAAGGAGATCCTACAATGACGATGCACTCGCAACATAATGTTCTAACTGTAGAAAGTACGACCGTCAAGTTTGAACAGCGTGGCGGGAATCATTGTTCTCCAGCTAATTTGCCTCAGATTGTTAAAGAAAACAGTCCTGGGAAACGTAATGAAACGGCAGAGTCTCTGCTTGAACACAGCTCGCATTTAACAACTGAAAACTCACGGAGTAGGATAATACCTCAATGCGTAACCTTGTTCTGCACAAATGGATTTTTCCTGTATCTGCTCAGTATCATTTTCTGGTCTCTTGGGGATACAGTCTGCATGGTTCATTTACCAAATTTTGCTGAATTGAAAGGCAGTACACCAGCACAGTCTGCCAGTTTGTTCACTGTCATGGGTGTGCCTGCACTTTTTTCCGGATTCCTGACTGGTTTTGCATCTTCTGATCCAGCTATTGGAAACATTATCCTTCACGTTGGACTACAAGGAATGACAGGAGTATCCCTTCTGTTACTCCCCGTGCTGTCACATACGTGCAGTCTCCAAATGATTTTCAGTGTCCTGTATGGTACATACAGTCAGGGACCTTACACATTGGTTAGTCCTATATGCATTGAGCTGATAGGCCGATCCAAATTGGCCGTTGGGTTTGGTGTATGCTACTTTTGCTTTGGACTCGGCAGCATGGTTGGACCACCCATTGCAAGTAGGTTAACCTTGAGCCTATATTTTGCGTATATTTTCGTGAATGTGTGAGTGGTTGATGCGATAATGCGTTAATTAATGTGTTAATAGACGGCTTGTAACACCCTACCTGACTGGTGCGTGAAGATACGTACCGATCATGACACATGCATAGTCATAGATACTCAAATATGCATTTTGGTATATACTTCTAAAGATTTTAGTTTTTCATGACCTTAAACTATTTTATCATAAACCCTGAGACATATGTTACATGAAGAACCACCACATTGTGTTTCAGGTCTTATCTATGAAAGTACTGGAGTGTATGACTTTACGTTTCTTTTCTCAGGTAGGTAATTGTGATCATCATTATTGATGTAAAGTGTAAAGAAACAAGTAAAATGAGTTTTATGCAACCCGCCAGATGAAAATATGTCGAAAAAGAAAAGTCCACTAAATGATCAGAGAGTAAGTGTGCACTTTGTATTTTGTTCAGATATAAACATTCGTGTCCCATTTGTTGGACTAAACAGTATGACAAACAATTAATGAAGCATACAACATTATGGATGACAGCTTCTTGTTTATTCAATAGAGCGACGTTTCGATGTAGATTTTTACACCGCTATCATGTTTAGCTTGGTAACAGTGTAAGAATCTACATCAAAAGGTCGCTCTGTGCAATAAACAAGATGTCATCCATAAAGTTGTATGCTTCATTGTTTACTCCCCATGTTCAAGAATGCTGAACCTGCAGGAAAACAGTTTCAAACAATTGACAAACCATTGATCGTGAGGCGGTTACCTTTAATTTCTGATAAAGACAAACAATTAATTTATGAGGAAAACCACAATCGTACATTTTTTTAGAAACAACACGATTTCTTTGTAAAGATCGGATACTATTTCTGTAAATATACATTGAATGTGCTTGCTTTCTAGTTGTTTCAGTACAAAATGGTTTGCCAACATCAGTGCCTCATTGTTGTCTGCATATTTCATAGTAAGGGAGTATAGATTTACGCCGTTTTAGCAATATATCAGCAATACCACGGCGGAGGACACCAGACATGGGTACATAACTCTGTGTATATTTGGTCAATGTTTCGTTGCAGGTGCCTGCTTCATCATTAGTGCCTTCCTCGCCTTGTGTATTCCATTGGCCAAGAAGCCAACATAAATGGATGTGTTTAAATCTTTGTATGAATAGATTTAGTATTTTTATCCCCCGCAACGAAGTGGGAACGGGGATATTGTTTTGACCTCCGTCTGTCCGTCCGAATGATGCGGACAGATCTTCTCAAAAAACCGTTACAGACTGGGACACAAAATTCGGTATGTGCTTTCAGGACATGATGGAGATCGAAAACGGAAACCGTGTTACAGTTTTGTTACAGTGTTAAATATAATTTGCACATTGTATTGGAAGCACAAACTTCATACGGACACAGCATTTTGCACAAAGTGGCATTTTCACACATTTTACGACCGTGAATTAGGCGCATGTTTTCCAGTTGTCCAGGATCTGATATTTATGGGCTTTTTGAGGAGTCACTCAGTTGGATGTCATGCCAGAAGTAAGAGACAATTTTGAGTACCATACAAATACCATTTTGAAAAAAATCAAACATCTTATTTTCCAATCTATTTTGGGGCTTTTCTAGGTATAAAAACGACGGAAAAAAAGGACCAAGTTCAATGACTCGCCTTCCTCGTGTCTTGATTAAAGATATAGACTTGCATGAAATGAGTACGTTCTTGTCCATTTGACATTTGTAATTACACATTTTCAGTAATGCTAAATATGTCATGTTTAACCGGGATGATGAGGTACCCTAATGGTTAAAGCGTCGGCTCTACACGTTGAAGACCTGGGTTCGATTCCCCACATGGGTACAAAAAAAGACAGAGCGCAAGTGTCTGGAGACGATAGGGTTTTCTGGTTGGGTTGTTGATCAAATTGTTTCAAACAATGTCTTGCAGAGGTATTCGTTTTTGTATGGTTTCGTATGGTTCAAGTAATATAATACCTAGTCGGCAACTATGACACTTTAATATTTAATCGTTATGAGATTTTACAAACCTTCAGTTGAAAGCCTTCAGGAAAAAACTGTATTTCGACATGTTTTGGAGGTGTGAAATCAACTAAAGAGAAAGTATACATTTACATTAATAATGATTGCACATGACAAATGGAATTATAGTGTCCCTGTCGTACTTTTAATAAGTGAACAGAATATCAAAAGTATGCACACAGCAAACCTGCCTGAACGATGTCCAGATTGGCAGCATAAAACTTCAGTGCTGTTATTGAAAAAAAACACAAAAATATTATGTATATAACGTCTGCGACCTTTCGGCGACACGGAGTTTTCTATAAAATTCTCTAGCACCCGGATATATGTTCAGAAATAAATAATGGAGAAATTATTGTCTAGATATATGCTATTAGGTTTTGTACAGTCTTTTTCAAATATACACATCGTTAAGTGTTCGCCATAACATTACTGTTTCGCTCTCACTAACTTTCGGCGATATGGCTGTGCGTCAAAATGATGAAAGTTAAAAAGCGGCAACGTCGAAATGAGCACTTAGCTAATAATTCAATAATGTCTGTAGATATTGTGGGAGCTGACAGACAAGACTAATATGCCACCAGGAACACGATTACTTACTTAAAACATTTGATACTTCAATAAAAAAAAGCACTGTAATAATATGTAAATAAATTGAATTCATGTTTCACACGAAGGCCCGTTCACGTTTTGTGTCAAATCGGATCCCGTTTGCTACAGTTTTCGCGCACTACAGAGGTGACTTGGCAGCACAAAACTATGGAAAATTCATGGTTTGTATCGTAATCGGAGTATTTTGTTGAAAACAGCAGCATGTACAATTGTATCAAAGGCGATGTCTGTCCCATGACACAATTTATTTCAAGATTTCGCAATTGGAAGAAATTGTTTGCTGGTAACTTGATCGCGATTGTGAGGTCTCGTATCATGTTGCCACTTGATCCACACCTAGACTATCGCTTAGTCTCTGAATATATAAAAATTTGATAGTAACAAACAAACCCGTTATAAATTGAAAAGGAGCCCTAGGGAAACCAGAACCTGAGGAAATCTAGACTTGTTTCATTTAGGTCTTTAGCATTGTAGAATGGGCTAGGCAGTAGGGAAAATACTATTGTGGGTCAGAGACTGTTCGACAGACTAGATCCACACCCCGTAACAGCTAATCACAGCGCATTATATGTTCATTCAGTGAGTGAAATTGACCTTTTCCTGGCCAGCGTACATTCTTGTGCTTAGACGCATATCTAGTCGGTGAGCAGATAGGGAACCAAGTAATTTATGAACCCCTTGCGGTTAGTTCCGGTGCGGCAAAAAAAACCCCTCAACGGCTCTCATTCTGACGCCTGATATTTAGGGTATCAGACTGACTTTTCGTACCGATATATTTTTTCTTATTTTAAATATATATCTACCAACTAATAGATAAATAAACCCCCCAAAACAGTCCACAACAAACCATTTCCAATTTCAGGAACTAACCAAATCTGTAAGACTTGAATTCAGTAAAATTACTTAAAGGCCTAATATTGCCCGCTCTCAAAACGTGAGTTATCTGTCCTTGGCGACAGCTATTTAAAACATAATGCGCATGTGCGTATCTACTTCCGGGAGGTGTCGCGCCAGTCCGGCAACTGTCAAGACGCCGTCGAAACAGCGATACTGTTGTATTTGTAGTAATCATTGTAAGAAATTTGCGAATGGCCGGAAGATCACTGTGCACAGATTCCCTGCAGATATACGACTGAGAAGGGTTCGGATTCAAAGATGCAAGCTTGTCCGTTCCAACTTCAAGTACACAAGAAATAACAGCACCAGATTATGCTCGGGACACTTTTACGGCGGGGAGGGACCGAGTAAGATTCATCCTTTGCCAACTGTTTTTTCCAAAGAAGACATTCAAACTTTCGGTAAGATTGTTTGCGAGAAAATAAAGCTTCTAAGCAGATGGTATTTCGTAATCTCCCCAAAAGTGACAAAGCAAGGCTTAGGAGGTTAGTCGTATCGTATGTAGACTAGGAGATAAATTTGGCTTTATTTATGTGAATTCCAAATAAAATATGAAATAATTACGTGCATGTTATTAAAACAATATTGGTATGTATGGAAACCTTATTCCTTTCAATTAATCCATCCAAAAATAAGCATTGCCCAAAACGGTTTCCATTCCTTCATTCCATGTTATTATTATGTTCTAAATTCTGGAAAATTAGATAACATTTACCCCTGATTACTGCATACATTTCTAAGAAAAATGACAGCTGATATGTGATCATTTTATCTTCTTTTACAGAATGTGTCCCATCTGGTCCATGGAACTACTTGTGAAACCGATTTGGATCAAGGTCTTGGTGAGAACATGGATATGGATGACGTTAATGAGACTGCTTTGCATATAACATGGAGGATACAAGTATGCGTGATGTGTCAGCAGAGAATTCAGATACAGCTGCAGGACTTTTAACAAGGCTTAAACGTTCCCTTAGTAATCATGACTACTGTGGTTCCCAAATGTTGACCAGTCTCTCTGTGAATAAATGTACCCAAACATTTTCAGAACCTGTTACATCAGCAGGTCCTAGAAGTATTTGGGAGTATTCATCTATAGTCAACTCTCATGGAGCCAAGCAAGGTCATCCTTGATTACACAATGCCATTTAGAAAGTGGTCAAATGTAACATATCTTATATTTAGGATTACACTTTCTTAGTAAAGTACAAATTCTAGTACTTTTCGAGTTGAGCCCTTTCCGGGATTCGAATCCACACCCTCAGAGTCAGGCACCTGATCGCCAGCACACAAAGTCAGCCGCCTAATGTTTACATCTAATGTTTTGTTGTTATGACAGTAGATTACCGATTTAACTGTTTATATAATTTCATTTGTCTTTTTCACCACACATTCTTCTTACCGAGTCACTTTCTCAGTTCGATACTTAAAAGCAATGTCAATATTTAGCGTTGACAGAATTTTTAACTGTGATATAGATAAATCGTTGTCACAGACAAAACTCAATGTCAGTTTTATTGACACCTAAGTGTCTGCCTGCCTGTCTGCTAATGACAATATTCAATACACAACTTCCATCACTGATCACATGCAATTTGAACTTAACACCTATACACCATAAACAAAACGCATTGATTTATGGCCCGAGTTCGGTCTCTGTCACATTATGTAATTACACAGACAGGCAGGTGCGATACTTGTACACATGACATGTTATGATGTCTGTTAATTGCAAAGTGTTATACACAAAAATATGAGCATGTATTTACAAAACCCAACATCTCTATATATACACACGCAATGGGTGAGGGCATCTGCAAATGAATCAGCCGTTACACTTGAGTGCACACCCACCCGCTCTGACTGGGTTCGGTATCCCGGCTGCTTCGTTTCTTAGGATGTAAACCAAAGTACAAAATATTGCACTTTTGATTTGCGATTGTACGCTTATAAGTTTATATGTGTTTTCATAATCAGCAATGTATATTATATGTCATGAATAAGTGATAATTTTGTTTTAATTATGTTTGATTTTTTGGTTGCATATGACCTTTAATAAACTAGACAAAAACTAATGAATGAACGTTGATAGTTTGTTAAAGATTATGTTGTTTGCACGAACGTCTGGGCGAGAAAGGCAGGTCTAAATATTTACTTTGCAGATAGTTGTATTTTGTACGAAGTAACAGGAAAGATATCTTCGATCACATGTATATCAGATTCATCACTAACCTTTATTTTTGTAGCTATGTATGTATGCCTGACAACTTGATCATAAGTCTATGATTAGTGTATCTAGATTGTCCACACACAAAGTATTCCATAACACTCGATTGATGCGCCATTGAAAAAAGAGTATGAGTAATATTTGTGTCAATTATTTAAAGATAAATGTTTCAAAGACCATTGAATGTCATTAGGCCAAGTTAGATACCATTGGTTTGTTTATATTGCTGCATTACTGGAGTGAGGTAAAGCATATCTTGTCACTGCTTGATAGTTGTGTCTTATTCATAAAACTAAAAGTGTTAAAAGGGGGTTTACAGTTAGAACAATACAACCCAGTTGATCCATCAACTTTTGCAAACCTTTTATA